TATGACCGACAAATCTAGCCGCTTCGCCTGGACGTGCCACACACATGACCTGACCCCCCCCCCTCCCCAGACACAAGCGTCAGGATCTCACACACAAGGGGGTGGGCGACATGCATTTCAAGTGTGTGTGAGAGAGTGTCAGAGGTCATGTCGAGAAGGAGGCATTCCAGCCCGACTCTCAGTCCACCAGTCGACCATTGAGCACAAACGTACCTTGGGCTAAATGCAAGGCCTGAGTTCCAACGGTAGTTGGCAGTCTTGCAAGTCATCACGGAGTTTAACGCATCGTGACAGTCTCAGGCTCGGATCACACATGCACCAGAGGGGCCACATGCAGAAGGAGCCGGGAAACACTTGCAGCTTTCGAGGAGAGATGTGCCAATCACGTGCCAGCGTGGTGTGGTGTTGAGTGTGGTCATGTTTAGAGTAGATGCTGGCGAAGAGAGATGTGGTAGTATGGTATGGACGGCGGTGCCTTCTGGGTTGGGTACAAGAAATTTCGTGCGCCTGGCGGGACACAACTGAATAATAATAATAATATGTAATAATAATGGCCAGGAGTTGGAGCATGCATTTTTGATAGTGGGCATTGTCAGCTAACCGCACAATGGAATGGTTGTACCCAGAGTTACGCACATGGAAATGAAGGAGGTGTTGATTGCTGTGGAAACAGACGATTGAGACAGCATGTGACGGGGGCTGCAGAAGCTGAATGGAAGGCAGTGGCGAGAATGGTTTCAGCGAGGCGAGGCCCAACCTTTGGATGTGCGCCGAGGTGCGTGCGTGCGTGCACACATGACCTTTGTCCGCCTACAATCCCGATCAGCAAATGACACAACGCCGATTGGTCTCAAGCTGTCTCCACGACGTGGCCATGTCACGTGCATTGCAATTGGCAGGAGGTGTTAGTTAAGCTGACAGAAGGCGTCATGAGATAACAACCAGACTGGCGACCAGGAGAACGGAGCCCGGTGGTTAAACTTCCCGGCATGGCTGGTGTAGACGGTCCAGGTCTCCATTCCGTACAGAAGTGCTGTCAAGACGACCGCTTGTACATCTTGAGTTTGCTGATCATTTGGCGACCGTGGCGATTCCACACGGAAGCTAACAGCCTGGCTTTGGTGGAGGAGGGAATGAGGTGTGTGGATGTGTGATGTGACCGGCGGTTGTCTACCGCAGGTCGCCGTGGATGCGCATGTGACCGAATAGACCCATGCGATGCATGAAGTTGCGAGGACAGTGTGGGCAGTGGAGACGAGCTTGGTGGGTGTAGGTTGGTGCTCCAGGCACTGGTTCGCCAGTCTCTGTGTGATGGATTCGCAAGTGACCGACCAGGCCGATGCGAGAGGTGAAGGTGCGGTCGCAGTGAAGGCAGGTGTAGTCCTGATCCTCATCAGCAGTATCGGGAGAGGTGGTGTCGGTTGTTGTGTTGGGGTTGGTGATGTGTGAGACGGCAGTCTGAACGGCCGCCGCTGGGGCAGTGGGGGAGGAGGAGGAGGATGGAAGTGGTGGTGCAGAAGAGTTAACAGAGTTAGTTGGCGGCAGAGAGGACGAGGAAGAGGCGGGCGGGGGGACGATGGCTGGAGCAGTTCGAGAGGTGCAGTTGATCCGCAGATGTTCAACAAGTCCGATTCATGCCCGGAATGTCCGTTGACATCGAGGACACGTAGGGAGAGGTTGTGCGGCGGCGTTGCGTACTGGGCGAAGTTGTGATTTGCGGGCTTCGCGTTTCGCTTTGGCGGCGGCGATTCGGTTGGCTTCATAGATAGCAGCGCCCGTCTTCAATGTTCTCCTCCATGTCGGACGATCGCGGGCGAGATCTTCCCAGTTGGTCGGGTTGATTTGCAGGCGCTTCAGGGAGGACTTCAGGGTATCCCTGTAACGGCGAATTAGGCCTCCTTGACGACGAGAACCCGTCGCGACGTCTCCGTAGAAGAGTCGTTTGGGTAGTCGCTCGTCGTCCATGCGCACCAGGTGGCCGCTCCAGCGCAGCTGCATTTGTTTAAGTATGGCGTAGATGCTCAGGATTCCCGTCCGTTCCAGCACATCGGTGTCAGGGATGCGGTCCCGCAGTTCAGCCTCAGGATGCGACGGAGACAACTGAGGTGGAAGTGGTTCAGTCGACGTGCCTGCCTCGTGAACACCGTCCATGTCTCTGCTCCGTACAGTAACGTCGGCGGGATGACGGCCTTGTACATCTTCAGCTTTGTGCTCAGTTGGAGACCGTAGCGATTCCAAACTGTGCTTTGGAGGCGTCCGAAGGCTTGACTGGCTTTCGAGATTCGGTTGGCGACTTCGTCATCGATCTTTGTGTTGCGAGATAGGGTACTTCCCAGGTACGGGAAGTTCTCCACCACTTGCAGTTGGGTCCCATTCACGCTGATTTGCGGCGCGTTGAGGGCTGTGGCTAAGTTGGGCGGAGGTTGGTGCACCACCACCGTCTTCTGCGTGTTAATGATCAGACCGAAGTTCTCGCAGGCCGCAGAGAATAGGTCCATGCTCCGTTGCATCTCCGCTTCGGAGGTGGTGTTCAGGGCGCAGTCGTCGGCGAAGAGGATTTCGTGCACGGTAGTTGTGGATACGCGCGATTGGGAGTTCATGCGCCGGTGATTCAGGAGATGACCGTCCGTTCTGTAGGCGATGCGGATTCCAGGGCGTTCGTCGCGGTAGGCGTCCATCAGCATGGCAGAGAACATAAGACTGAAGAGGGTTGGTGCCAGCACGCATCCCTGCTTCACTCCGATGGTCACTGCAAATGCCTCTGAGACAGCTCCGTTGTCCGTGACTCGCGCCATCATACCGTCGTGCAGCTGACGCACCATCTGAGTGAATCGCTCCGGACAGCCGAATTTCTGCATGATCTTCCACAGTCCTTCACGATTCACCGTGTCGAAGGCTTTCGTCAGGTCCACGAAGGTAGAGTACAGGTGGGTCGCATCTCCTGGCACTTCTCCTGAAGTTGGCGTCCCGCGAAGATCATATCCGTGGTCCCACGATGACGACGGAAGCCGCATTGACTTTCCGGCAGAAGGCCCTGTTCCAGGTGGTTATTGAGGCGGTTGAGAAGGATGCGAGCGAAGATCTTCCTGGCGATGTTCAGCAAGGAGATGCAACGGTGATTGTCACAGACTTGGCGGTTCCCCTTTCGCTTGTAGAGATGCACGATGGTTGCGTCCTTGAAATCTTGCGGGACTTCACCTTGACGCCACATCTCCTGGAAGAGCGCAGTCAGGTGATCCATCAGTAGGGGACCTCCGTGCTTGTAGACCTCAGCAGGGATTGCGTCCGATCCGGGTGCTTTCCCGCTGGAGAGTCGCTGCACGGCCCTGATCGTTTCCTGGAGAGATGGCGGGAGGTCGAGGTCCGCGTTGGTCTCCACTTGCGGCAAGCGGGCGATGGCGGCGTCGGAGATGACGGAAGGGCGGTTGAGGACGCCTCGGAAGTGCTCGGCCCATCGCTGTAGAATTTGCGTCTTCTCAGTCAGGAGAGTGCTGCCGTCGGCGCTGAGGAGAGGAGCGGTGCCCTTCGTCGGCGGACCGTAGACAGCTTTGATCGCGGAGAAGAAGTTCTTCCATTCGTTCCGGTCCGCGTACCCTTGGATCTCCTCAGCTTTGCGAGCAGTCCAGGCGTCCTGCATCTCGCGCAGTCGTTGCTGAAGCTGTCGGCAACTGCGGTAGAAGGCAGCTTTGGTGGCATCAGTGGGGTGATCTACGTAGGCTTTGTGGAGGCGGTTCTTCTCGGCAAGCAGATTGCTGATGGCAGCGTCGTTGTCGTCGAACCAGTCCTGGTGTTGGCGGGGAGCGCGACCGAGGACGGCGAGAGCCGTCGACTGGACCGTGTCTCGCAGCTGACACCAGCGGTTCTCCACGGAGGCGTTCTCGGCAGCGGCGGCGTCGGCGATGGGGAGGTTGTCTAGCCGTTGAGCTAGCTCATTGCTGAAATGAAGATGGTGAGCAGGCAAAGACAACAAGGCAACATTCAGCTTACCTGGGGGTCGCTTACCTTGTGGTCGCCTGCGAGGTTGTTGACGAATACGCATCTTCGAGATGACGAGGCGATGGTCGGTCCACCCATCAGCACCCGCGATCGCCTTCGTCACCAGCACGTCCCGCTGATCTCGCCTCCGGACGAGGACATAGTCCAGCAGGTGCCACTGACGCGACCGAGGATGCCTCCAGGTGGCCTTCTCTCGCTCCGGCAGACAGAAGAACGTGCTCGTCAGGATGAGGCGGCCATCTGCGCAGGTGCGGAGCAGCAGCAGACCATTGTCGTTGGAGCCGCGGAGACCATGGGGACCCAGCACTCCTCTCCAGGCAGTATGGTCTCTTCCGACGCGGGCGTTGAAGTCACCAAGGACAATCAACTTGTCCGCCTTCGACACAGTCGCCAAGAGGGCGTGCAGGTCCTCGTAGAATTTGTCTCCTGCGGCGGCGTCGGGGCTGGTCATCGGCGGAGCGTAGGCGCCGATGATGGTGGCGAATTTTCCCCCACCCCGGCGTAGAGGCAGGCGGAGGCTCATCAGGCGATCGTTGATTCCCTGCGGCAAACAGGGTAGTCGTCCCACGATGTCGGTCCGGATGGCGAAGGCAACACCCGCGTCTCGTCGCTCTGCCTTGGGTCGACCACTCCAGAAGAAGGTGTAACCGGCACCCACCTCCTCCAGTTGGCCTTGTTCAGAGAATCGGGTCTCGCTGAGTGCGGCGATGTCCACCTTGTAGCGCGCCAGTTCTCGTGCCACTAGCGCCTTCCTCCGTTCCGGTCGGTTGCTCCTCGGATTGTCTAAAAGGGAACGAACATTCCAGGCTGCCAGAGTGAGCGGGCTCACCCTGCCAGTCTGGCGACTGCGGCGGCGAAAAGTAGGAGTAGGAGAGGAAGAAGAATAGGCTGGAAGAGGAAGAGAGTGATTGTTGTTGTTGTTGTTTCGATTTTGGCTGTTTCAACCGTGTGTTTTTTGTCTGCGGCCACGGCCAGCCTACAGACAGCGTGGTTCCCAGCGATCTTTAGGGCACCTTTTCTAGCCCCCTCCCCCTCGCGGGGGCAGGCAACGCATCCCTGAACAGGGCTGCCCGGTTATCCCAGACGGCTGCCGGACTACACTATGGGCCACGACATTTTGTTAGTGAGAGTACGACCCGAATTAGCCTGAGACCTTGGTGGTGATGGTGATGTGATGGAGTGAAGTAGGAGAGAGCATACACACTACCTAACGCTATGGGACTTATAGCTAGCTAGAGTGGACAAACAGACACAGTCATCAGTCAGAGACAGAAGTGAGAGGGCACCATTCAAGTGTCAAGCTCCGTAGCACCTAGCTATTAGCAGAGAGTGGCATAGACTGACAGACAGACAGTCGCAGCAGTCAGCGAGGGTTTCGTCTAGCTATTATCAGACTGACTAGCATACAGAGGGCAGGCAGCAAGAGCAGCATACGACACGGAACTTCAACAGACAAAAGGAAGAAACAAAACAAACGCACTTACCTGAGGGGGAACTTACCTGGTGGCCTCCTGCGATGGACCAGGCGGAGCCTCGTCTCGACGATGTCGACGCGAAGATCCATCCCTCCAGCGCAGACCACATTGCCGCGCGTGCAGGTGCACGCACGGATACCCTCACCTGGTTTAGCCCGCCGGTCGAGACGGTTGCCCGGGGTGTGGCCGCTGAGCAGAGCCCAGCTACGTGGAGCCGCAGGTGAGAGTTAGGTGCCAGCAAATGGACGCTAGGCGTAGTCTCATATGCGAGCATCACGTGAACCCACCGCTGGACACCCCTACACCCCACACACACACACACACTCTCTCTCTCACACACACACACACACGACAGTTCGACCGTCGATTTCGACAATGTCCACCGTGTGCCCCACAGCTGCAGCAGCGGTGGGAGCAGGGACGGTGACTTACGCAGGGGTTTATAGTGCCAGTAGACTTGCGTAGCATCTACCTACACTCTCTCCTCCTCCCCCGCCTGAGCCCGGTGTCAAGACAGTGTCAAGAAGACCGGAGACGAGGGAGGCCGCAGGTGGATGGCTCGGACGGATCCTCGCCTTGGCGCTCCACTCCGCACCCCCTGGTCCACACAACAATGACCAAGATTTTGACCACAAAACCATGGGGTGGTGACAGTGGTTGTGCGACGAATGCCGACAACACGGTCCGCCAGCGCACGCCGCAATTGTTGGCATTTTTTACTGCTCACAGATAACGCCTGCCAGAGTCCGATGTGGCCCCCGTGTTGGTCCAGCGCATCTAACACGTCCAACCCCATATGGGGACCAAGTGTTTGAAAGTCAAGGAACAATCAAGTGTATTTGCAGTGGCGCTTTGTTTTTAGAAAGACGAAGAAGCAGACGCCATTGCGGAAATACTAATTTCGTTAGACTGACCTCTCGAATTCACAGCATCAGATAATGATGGATGATGCAACCCTTGTGCATTCATGGTATTCTTCCTTCGGCCTTCGCCAGAACACTCATCTCTTGCACTGTGACGCTCGAAAAAAAACCCGGACGAAGTATCCCAAGAATAGCGACATGGGGTTAGTCGGAGTACGTTTGCTGTGGCAAGACAGTTTCGTTTGGCCAACTCCTGAATGGAATAGACTTGATGGTGTTCACTAGCCCCTTTATCCACAAAAATCAGGCGTCCTTCTGATGTGCCTGAAAGTTCACCCGCAGACATGGGAGGACTTCGTTCAAGGTCGATAACAACAACGACTCACCTTCGCCATCCTTTCCGATTGGCCACAGAGGTGACCACGTAGATCAATTATTTGGTGCCTACGAGGATCCACCACCATCTGCGCCAAGGCTAAGGACCAGCAATTGTTTCGGCGTGCCGAGCACCAGTTGTCGAGGCTGATGGCCCCCACGCAAGTGCCTCGAGTGCGCCCATGCGCGTGTGCGTGCGTGTGTGAATGACCTTTGTCCGCCAGCAATCGATCAGCACGTGACCGTGTCACGTCGGTTGGCGCGTGGGGCTGTCGCCAAGTCAGGGCCAAGTCATGTGCGTCGCACGCATTCGACTAACACGAGGTTTTAGTCTGAGCGAAGTCCTTTTATTTGATTAATGAATTTTAGTGAACGCTGAATTTCATTTTGGATGCTGTATGGAATTTAGCTTGATGAGGAGGCGGCAGGCGCAGGGTTCGTTTCTACTGTCAGTTTCGTTTCCTCAAGGAGGCAGCTAGTGAGGAGCAGACTGAGTGAAAAGTACTCAAAAGAGACTGGGTGCAAACAGATGCTCATTTGCGTCTAGGTTAAACAGTTCTACTTAGAAATGGAAGAGCTCGACTTCTCAGGCAAATACTATTGTGGCACAAAAGACATTTATTCGCTTTCACAAGTAATTCGACCATCGCTTCTATTCAGTCTGAAGCACGCGCCTCATGCTCCATTAATTTCTCCTTATGAAACGAATCGTATATGCAGACATGTAATACCTATCGGACAAAGGGCATTGGAGACCAGGCATGTTGGTTACGTAGGACGCCTTTCGGCCATACAGCTGTGGAAGCATTTAACGCGAATCGGAATTGGTGGCGCCAAAGTTAGCATTGAATTCCTAGAACTTCCGTTGCTTCAACAGTGATGAGGGTGTACTCGTGCGCATGCTCAGCAGTGACCAGCAAGATGCCTTCTGATACGCAGGGAGGTTGACGCCAAGGGCACTGTCGACGA